GTTATTGATTCTTGTTCCCCCCGGTTCCTCCCAGGGAGCTCAGGTTAACAAACAAAGTCCTGGTTTTCCCGCCGTTCTTCTGTCAGCTGGCATTTCCCTCCTAACGTGACACGCCTGGCAACCTAAATTCCTCCCCAGTGACTAAGCAAGAGCAAAACTATGAGGGAAGGGGAGCGGATGTGCATTATGAGCTGCTGAAGGGACCGTTCTCTGCCAGTGCTTTACTGTGACAAACCCTAACATGTTTATAAGGAGTCCTGATGATAAACTGAAAGCTAAAGTCTATTTCAATGTTCAACCGTGGGAACGTTGGCTTTTAAAAATAACAGTGGGCGTGGCAACTGCTTACATTTAGCAGAGTAAACTATGAAAATAGAATAGTGCCCAGATTATTTTTACTACACTGCACTTTTTTTTTTTTTTACCCATTTGAATCATCTTTGGAAATAAAGCCACTCTTCCTTTAATGTAGCATCCAGACATTTAACACACCTTTATTTTCTTTACTGAATGACCTTAAATCCAGCAGACAAACACCTACAGTTTATGCTACAACAAGACTTTCGTTTAGTAAACAAGCTTTATTGTTCTAAACTATTTTCTCTCCTTAGATTGTTTCTGTGTTTAAAGGTCACATGAAATAAAAGTTAACTTTACACATTACTGCAAGTACAGCATATAGTTATGGAAAATATTAAATTCTAATAAGTTTCCAGTCAAACTTTCTCATTTCTTTACAGTTTAATTTTATATCAAGACAGTCGGATCTTTAGTGTTTCATTTTTATTATATTTAACAATCTTTGTTCAATCATTGCCACTGGAATGTGCATTTTTCTTTTTTCTTCATGTATAGCAATTTCAATTGTATTGCCATTAAAATATGCTTTATAAATAAACTTAACAGTTTATGCTACAACAAGACTTTTCATTTAGAACAATAAAGCTTGTTTACTAAACTATTTTCTCTCCTTAGATTGTTTCTGTGTTTGAAGGTCACGTGAAATTAACCTTACACATTACTGCAAGTAAAGCATATAGTTTACATTTAATAATCTGTGTTCAACCACTGGAATGTGCATTTTTCTTTTTTTTCATGTAAAGCAATTTGAATTGTCCTGCCAATGTGCTTTATAAATAAACTTAACCTTTATTATAAAAGACAATGTTTATGCAATTATTTACAAACTCCAAAGATATTCATGGAAGAACCCATGTGTTTTTTTGTTTTTTATCCATTTAGCCTAATTAGCCTCAAAAAAGGTTCATAAATATTATAGCAAGATTTAAGATCCACAAGCGTACAAGATTTATACGTGGAAAGAATCCACACATAAAAGGAAAAAAGCATAAATACATGAAGTCTAAGGTTGGTGAAAAGCTGTAATCTGGGAATTACACATGTAGTGGTGTTTAAAAATAATTAAGTAGCCATTACTTCCAGCAAATTGTGTAACTTTCAGAGATCTTCTCTAACCTTGAACGCATCGTTACGTTTATGAATGATCCCACGGTAAGAAGGTCTAAAGATTCTTAAGCTACAAATTTGAAAATCTTGAGGTACATATTAATGCATGCACTACCGAGCCCCTAAAGGGACATGGAGGGGGAAAAAAAGAACTTATGAGATGAGATCCCACAATAGTTTTGCGAGATCCTGCAAAAGTATTGCGAGATCTCACAAAAGTTTATTTTTTCCCTCCATGTAATGCACACACTGTCTTTATTCCAAGAAAAACAATCGGTTGCACTTGAAATCTGGAACACATCATTATATCTAAATAAGCTTTATGAAACTGAAATCACAACAAAAATAAGCCAGATTTGGGAAACTAAGTCTGACTTCCAAAGTAAGCCAG